TCCAAGGCACCACTTAGCTACTTGGTCTAAACATGACATTAAGAAAGAAAAATAATAAAAATAAAAGAGGGGGATGAGGGGGGGGAAGCCGCAGTAGCTAAGCCTGCAGAAACGCCGTGCTTCCTCCGTGCCTTTGGCAGCGCTGCCCCGCAGTCCCCTCGCCCCGCAGCTCACCTGCCGGGCTCCCGGGGGACAGCCCCGATCCTACAGCAGCTCCCAAGCTCCAGGATGTATTTAGAAAAGGGTTGGAAAAGGCTCGCCCAGCGCGGTTCCCGATCCCCCAGCCTTCAACCTGCCTCCCCGCAGGTGCTCTCGGGGGGCTGCGGGCAGGGATGGGGGGGGGGGAGGGGGGTGAGCAGAGCCCGCACGGCAGCGGGAGCCCCCCCGGTGCCCGTTCCCCTTTTCGGGGGGGGATCAGGGCGCTTTGCCACCCCCCCCCCCTCGGAGGCTCCTACCTGCCCGGGCTGCCTGCTGTAGGCGAAGGCGTAGAGCCGCTCGGCGCTGATGTTCACGGCGCCCCGGTAGAGGCGGCCGAAGGCTCCCGGAGCGGGGCTGCCCCCGGGGCCGCCCCCCAATGGGGTCGGAGCCGCCGCCGCCGCCCAGAGCAAGGCGCAGAGCAGGGCCCCGGGGGTCGGGGGCTCCCCCCCGGCCATAGCCCCGCTGCTGCCGGCCGCCCGGCTGCTTCTCCCCGGCGGGGCGGGCGCCCGGGAGCCGGGGTTGGGATTTCCTCGGCCGCACGGGGGTGGGGGGAGGCGGGCAAGCAGCGAGCACCGGGCACCCCCCCCCCCCCCCGCCCCGAGCAACTTTCCTGGGGAAGGACCCTCCGCGGGGAGGGGATAGGGGAGGGGATGGGGAAGGAGGGGGAGAGAGGAGGGAGGAGGGTCTCCGCCGTGTGGCCGGCCCCAAATTGCGAGCCGGCGTTTGTCAGGGAGCTTGTCCCCTTCGGGGTGTGGGATTTGGGGTTAGGGGTATGCAGGCGTCGTCGGGTGTGTGGGGACGGGTTCACGGTTGTGGTATCCGCAGGGCTTCACATCTCACACAGGGGCCATGCCAAGCAGCTGGTTGGGGCTGCTGAGAACTGGGGGATAAATGCCGCCAGTTTTTAGCTCAGTCCAGAGGCGTGAAAGGATGCAGCACAGTGTCAGTCCACGCTTCTTACGCTATTTGAGGTGCCCGTGCAGCTGCTACAAAAGGCAGTGTGATGCTCTCAAGCTTTTCAGCAAGATGACAGCGATACTGTCAGGCTGCCAAAGGGCCAGAGGTCTGTCTCTGCTCTCCCCTCCTATGCTCTTTTGTTGGAAACATGCCTGGGAAATGTGTCGGATCCCATGGCGCAGGGATGCACTTTTAACTCAGAGAAGGTAGAGCATCACCGAAGCGACCTGAAAGGCTTTTCAGACTGAAGGCAAACTCGTAGAAGCCACGGTTTTATAAAGCCAGCCTTTGTTCTCCGTGTTATCTCTGGCCAAAGCGGCTTTCCAAGCTGTGGGGTTTGTTTTCAAGGCTGAGAGATTTCCTGGGGGTTGCTCTTCTTTGGAGGAAAAGTTGTAAGGCTCAGCAAAACGACTCAGCTTACATTATGCTGCCATTTTGGTCCCTGGGCCTTCGTGCGATCTCTGCCAAGAGCAAACAAACAAAACAATTGTCAGTGACCTGTGTTAGTGAAGCAGACCACACGCAAGTCCCTCTGTCTGCTGTCAGAGCCCCAAGAAGCGGCACTGAGGGCAAGCCCCCCACATGAGGTCTCCTGGGAGACTCCACCACCAGGAGTGCCTTCCAGCCTGGAGTTTCACGCAGCGCAGACCAGAAGACCTGAGCAATGTCACCTCTGAGCTCTTGCAGCTCTGTCTTGCCTCTTGCTGGGACACGGGATGACCTTTTGTGGGGGACTTCGAGCAGTGGTGGCACTGGGAGACTTGTGGCTTCCCCTCTGCACTCTGTAGAAGCCAAAGCTCCTAAACCACACAGCTCCCTGCTCGCCCTCTGCCTCCTTCAGCCCCACATACCCCTTTGTGGCCACCCTGTCTAGATGTATATTTTGGTATTCTACAGAAAACTACACATTTTCCCCTCAATTTGAATTTTACAGTTCAAGTTTTCTGTTCAAAACGCAATACTTTGTTTTTGTCTTTATTGAATTTCTTCTTACTGTTTTGAGGCTCTTTCTGTGATTCATCAACGTTGTACTTTTGTTCAAATCCTTGCCTCCAAAGTGCTTGCAGAACTGCCCAACTTGTGTTATTTACAGAAGTTTGAAGCCAAAGGTCAATTCCATCATCCAAGTCACTAATTAAAATAATCAATCTTAGCAGACAGATCAGATCTCTTTAATTTAATATACCTTCCTATTGTCCAGAAAATAGCCACAGCTACATTTTGGGAATTGCTGTTCAATCACACACTCCTTTCATGTTAATTCCAATCTGACCCCTATTTGCCTTTATGAGGACGGCATTCAATGTAATGTCAAAAGTCCTGCTGAAGTTTGAATGTTTCATCTGTTTCTTTCAGCACTTCCTAAGCCAGTTATCTCTGCAAGGAAATAAATTAGCTTACTTTGACTTGATTTGTTCGGGACAAATGAGCACTGCCTGTTTCTCATCATTGTATTGTTTTTTAGTTGCTTGCACCCTGCCTGCTGAACAGCTTGTTTCATTATCTTTCCCGATAACAAATGGAGGTTGGCTGATTTATAATTCCTCACTCAACCCTGTTGGTAAAGACGAGCAGCCTGTTTTCCCTTTTCACATCCACCTAAATCTTGTTCTTGAATGGCAGCAGGTATTTTGGAAGAAAGAACAGGGACGCTGTAAGAGACAAGATGCTGATCAAGGGAGATCATGGGTCTGGATCAGCGGAAGTGTTCTCACGCGTGCCACAGCACTGGCATCAGGGGATGGCAAAGGCTGGCTGCTCCCTAAGGCACAGGGAGCCAAGTGTGAAAACGTGGCCAGCAGGGCAGGGGCTTCACCACCCAGGGCCCCATCACACCGTACCCAAGCAAGACAGACAGGGCAGGCCTGGAGATGGCAGCTGGGGTCAACAGAGAGTCCAGACTGTCAGGTAAACCCCGAGCAGGTCTCAGGTCGTGGCTGTCACACAACTGCAGCTGTAGCACAGGCAGGGTTTAGCACCAGAGCCCCAGCTTAAAAGCAACTCTCGTGGGATGAGGGAGGTCAGCCCTCACAGAGGCCTCTCTGCACTGTGCCCTCCAAGGTCACTGGAGTGAAGGGGGCAGCCCTTGGTTGTGCTATCTCTGCGCTGGCGCCGAGCCCGGGGTGCCAGACCTGCAGGAGGGGGGATGTTCTCAGGGCCCTTTCCTCTGCATGTGTTGGTGCACACATCTCCTGACACGGACATCCTTGTTCCCAGGATGAGCAAAGCCCAGGGTTGTGAGTGTCTTGGGGTAAGGAGGCTCACAAGAGTGCCTTTTTTTTTTTTTTTCCATTGAACAAATGTAGAAAGTCACATTGCTGCTGGAAAAAACACTCCAAGGGAGTGATATTTCTCCTGGTAACCAGTGCTGCAAAAATATCCAGGACAGGAGAAAAATCTCAATTACAAAGGAATTCCCTGAATCATACTAATATGGAATATAAAAGAACAAGAGTATAAACATAACCAACTGCATTGTTTGGAAACTTATTTTGGAAAATGAGGGTTTTAAATGTCTGCCGTTTGGGTATGCAGCCTCTACGTTACATAAGCTCCACTGTGAGTAAATAGATGCTGTAGATGTTCAGCTGGCTTCTGCAGAGATAATGGATCATTTTCAGATGCTGCTGTAAATGTAGTGTGAAGCACAAGCACGGAAGGGTAGACAGGCTTTAAGACAACTGATAGAAGCCCAGTAACCTGCTCCCCATTTTCTGATATGTGGCTGAAGTGTTTGAGACTAGAGCTGGCTGAATAACAAGTGTCTCTGGCTTGTAGTGTATTAGCTTATATGACGTACTTAACATTTATATTTGATGGTAATTAATAGTAGCAGAGAGGTTTATGAGATTTCAAAGTAGATGATATATTGTTCTAATTGTGCCACGATTGCTTTCTTCTCTTTCCAACAGGCCTTGCTCTTCAAGACAGTTTTAAGCCATGCTGGGACAGAATTCCAGATGTGTCCTTAATTTATGCTTTTAGTTCCAGATTTTAAAATAAACAGAAACTAATGAACCCAGTACATCGCCTTACACATATGCCTAGGATCAGGGATTTATTATTTATTTTTTTTTTTTACCACAGGCTGGTCTGATGTTCAGCTTCAGGTTGTGTATGGTATCTGTTTAGTGCCTATAAGAAATAGAAGTTCAGGTGCAACTACAGCATAAAAAAATAAATTGACTCATGCACATTTTGCATCTCTTCAGCAAAAGCAGTTGCTGCTAGTATTTCCTGTCACTTTTTTTTTTTTCCTCCCTTCATAATTTCCACCTTCTTTTTCTTCAGGTATCTTATGCAAAGCAATTCCTTCCCTTGGCTCATGGACCATTACCACCTGCCTCTTTGCACTGATGTTGGTTAAGCCGGAGTTAGATGGATAAGAACCATCGGGAAATCATCATTTCTAAACATCATCACCTCACAGACAGCAGGAAAAGAAATCACAAATCATCATTTCCTAAGCATCAGGAGATCTGGGTGAAGGGGAATTTTCCTCTTCAAGGCATGATTTTTGAATGCGGAGCTGATAAACCCTCCACCTTCACTTTTCACCTCCAACAGGCAAAACATTAAGCTCACATTGTATTATAAGAAAGCGTCAATTTTAACCTTTCAGAGTAGTTTGCAGCTCTACATATGTGACCCAGGGAAGCGGAGGATCTGCGGCGCACTTGTGGGGCGAGCCTGTAGGAGGTCGCTTTGCTCAACCAACCAAGGGCCACCCTTTATCTGGATTTAACAGCGTGTGCGACATGCTTTTAAGTTCCCCTCAGCAGGATTCGTCCTGCCCTTCGCTACCTACCGGGCGGGCCGTGAGGCGGAGCCCAACCGCCACCTCCCTCCTTCCTCAGGCGGGGCCAACGGTCCCGTGGCAACGGCTGCGCGCGAGGCGGCGGCGGCCATGTCGCGGGTGCTGCTGAGGGGGGCACGGGCCCGGCCCCGCGGCCCCGCCGCTGCCGCCAGGAAGGGGCCGAGGAAGGCGGCGGCCAGGCGGGACTGGGACGTGAGTGCTGCCCCCTCGCCCTCCCCTCCCTCCTCTCCCTGAGGCTGAAGAGAGCTCCCAGCCTCCATAGGGATATCCTTTTTCCTCACCGATTCCCTCCCTAAACGTGGGATGCTGTCGATGCTCTACAAGTGTACCGCTGTGTAATTTTATGCTACATATGTTCTGTCTCGTTGCTTTTTACTCAAACTTAACAAAAAATAAATAATAAATATAAATAATCAATCCAATAATATACATAATAAATCCAGTTCCCTCGCTGTTCTTGTTTTTGATGTGTTTTCGTGTGCCTTTCTGCAGAGTACTGTCCATGACCTGACAGTCCACCGTGCCACGCCTGAGGACATCGTAAGTTTTACATTTGTCACCGCTCCTTTCCTATAACCATGAGATTTATCTGATTATCTAGCATAAATGTACACTATACATACTGGGATAGCTTTCTGATAGCAATTAATCTCCCTTTTTAAGCCTCTGGACATATGGTTCTTTTAATTTTTTTTTTTTTTGTTTATAATATGTCAGGTATCCATAGCTATTCCTCTGGCAGCCAGGATCTTCTCAGTTCTCTGTTTCCATTGCGAAGCAGTAACTATGTTTTTATTTCAACATAGTGTATCCCATTATAGATAAAAAAACCACTCTGTGGAGTAGTTTGACATTAAGCCTCATCTCTGCCCAACAGACCAAAAAAACGTGCTCTATTTTGGAATTTTCTATAATTCTGAGGGTGTTCAATCTTCATTTAAACAATTTTACAGCGCTTCTTTACATTGAATGACTTGTTCATTACAAAATACATTAATTCCATTTCTTTTTCATTGGTAGCACTGATCACCAGAATGGAATAGACAATAAGAGCTGTTGTTGATTTTTAAATTTTGACGATCCGTCCTAGTCAGGATGAATAGATACAACAGTGGAGATAGACATGGTTATCTTGATGTTATTTGGACACTTTTGCAAGCACTTGACACATTTGATTTCTTTAATTTGTATTTAAACTGAATACGTATGTATCATTGTTAGAAGAGCAAGAATTTTGCAGGTAACTGACGCTAGTGTTAAGTCAGGAAAATACATCTCTTTTTACGCTTATTATTGGTGGGAGTGTTTATGTTTTTTGCCTCCTTTTACAGCTGAGAAAACTCCTGCTGAGTCAGCAGATGGAAAATGAGTGTCCCATCATTCACCTTTAGAATTGCATTAAAAGTAGCTAGTACTGATGGGATCTGACATTTGTGGATGTTTGTGTGCTGTCATTGGCACTACCATGAAAGGAAAGTAAACATCCAGTGCATGAAGGATAAAATCAAGGAAAAGGGATTGTTATCATTGTTTTTAGGTTGTACCTTGATTTTTAATTGGTTTCTTTCATGTTTATGTAGCTGCGTCGCCATGAAATACACAAATCAAAAAACAAAGCACTGGTCCATCTAGAACTGCAGGAGAAGGCTCTGAAAAGAAAATGTAAGAAACAAAAGCAACTGGACCCCGATTCTTTGGAGAAGAGGAAATTGGCTCTGATGCGTGAGGTAAGAGCTAAATCTGTGCTTTTCAGCCTGTTGCAGATGATTTGTAGTGGGAAAACTGCTCTTGCACATAGGTGAGAATTTGCTCCTCTTTTTGGATAGTTGGACTTCATCTGTGTGTACGTTCGCTACTTGCAGTGATAGGAATAGGCTGCATAACATTTTAACTGTTGTGAAACATCTTAACTTATCTGTGCAGTTGAGCATTTCATCCTTGTTGCCTGGCTATGCCATTTGTAATGCTTCAGGCCTCTTTGAATCTGAACATCTAAATTTTAATGTTTGCGGTGAGAGAGGTTGCCTGCCTAAAAATCTGAAAGAAGATACAATGTGTTCATCTCCAGCTCCACCTGTATGGCCCCATAACAGCCTATTTCTAAAATACTGTTAGTGTGTTACACTGAATGGTAGGTGGTGAATGGATTAACGTAGAGGGGATGGTTAGGATTAGTCCTGTTTAATTATCTTTAGTAACAATCTGAAATGGGAAGGAAGATGAATTTTTAAATGAAATTCATAGGTCAATTTAAATGAAATTCATGGGAGAAAATACAGCACTCAGTGAGTATGTTGAGGGTGCGTAAATGGGCCTAGAGGGGTTAGAAGATAATATCACTTTGTTTTCTGCTGATCACAAAAAAAGGTGAGCTAATTTACCTTGGGAACAATGCTCTAAATAAATTCTTATAACGAGTTCAGCAGGTAAGTGAAACTTAGGAACCTCCTGAGTCTGATCTAGTAGGGGAGCATGAAAACAAATTTATCAGGATAACTTTTGTCCGAGTAAGCACATCAACTTAGTTTTAATTGCTTTAGGCAAAGGATATCATGTTTTGGAATAAGTAAGCATTACCATATTTTTTTCCTATGTAGATCTGGCATAGCATTGTCTAAAAACCTGCATCAATTTAACATCAGATGGCCAAATGGGAAGTTAGTATCAGGGATAAAAACTGAATGGTGATTTGGAGAAGTGAATATATGAGATGATTAAGCGACATGAATACTCTCTGATTTGCTAAATTGGTTATGAGGCAAAGTGATCTATTGCAGTGTAATTCAGGCTGAAAAGTCTAGACAGACATGGAAGTGAGCTGTGTGGGGGAACTGTGAAATGAGAGGAAAAAAACAGGTGAAATGTCCCTGGATTTTATTTTATTTTTTCTTTCGAATGAGGCTGAATATAAAGCATTAGTAAACTTATCAATAGGCACTGAAAGAAACTGTGAAGATAATAGCATGTAGTGCTCTGAAACTGCTGCATGCTGGTCTCTCTTAGGATTTCCAGGAGAGCAGAAATTAAATCTGACAAAAGAGGCATAGTGTACGAGGGCATAAGTAAGCCTGTCTTTCTGTGGGATCTTTTAAAGTACTTTTTCTAGCTAAAATTGAAGAACTATGATAAAGTGGAGATCACTTGCATATTGTGTTAGGTTTATGTGGCAAGGGTTTGGTAGTTGGATGGCCTCTGAGAAGAGTCCAGAAGCTGCCCCATGTCAGATATGAGCCAGTTTCAGCCAGCTCCAAAGGAACCCACTGCTGCCCAGAGCTAAGGCAGTGAGCGACACTGGTTGGGCCTCTGTGAGAGCAGATTTAGCTGAATCTAAAGTAGAGTAGTTGAGTGCATCCTTAGGCATGGTTCCAGTCATGGACTTCAAATACTGGGGGAGAGAGAGACTGAAGCTGTATCTTGTCAGAAATGTGTGGAGATGGCTGAATCATTTTGTTTTGCTAGGTGCAGTCAACTGTATTTGTGTCCATTGAAGCTTCTATGAAGGCTTGTGGCAGGATTTTGATTTTAAGGCAGGATTTTCAATAATCAAGGATGAATGAAACAAGTCTGTCTGAATTGGTTTGTACCTATTCAAATGGTTCATTTTTTGGGTGTCTATCAGATGAGACAGTGTTGATGGGGACCCCAGAAGTGATAACTACTTAACATTTCAGAAAAACAAGGTGAATTCTAGTCACTCAGGATGAAGTATGGTCTTCTGATTTGTCTTAATTGGGATCTCACTGTACAGTGCCAACTTTGTAAACATTGCCTTCTTGGCTATCCTTTTGCTAACTGTACCTGAACAACAAAGGAAAAATCAGTCTGCACCATATGAAATATTTCCTTATATGCTCTACTTTCAGATTCTCTCTGATCAGTACCATTTGCAAGATGTATTGGAACGATCTGATGAGGTCATGGCTGTGGCAAAACACTTGTTTGGGGATGCTCCTCGCACACGAACAGGTAGAACATCTTATTTCTATGTAAGAGTACATTTATCTTATCACTTTTCATAAATAGTCTTATTATACAAAGTATTCTTTTTAAGTGTTTTCATCTGATGTAACACAATTGATTCTGTTTGTGTTGGATGAAACACAGATGAGGATAACCATGTGGCAGGGAAGAGAGAGCCGTGGCTGGTTAATCCGCTGTACCAGTCTGTTGTGGAATTTCTGGTGACTTCCTCTGAAGCATCTGATGCTGACCATTTCTGCAGCAAAGTTACCAACATACACAGAGTGCCAGTTTGTGCACATAGAGTAGTTTGGGTTCTTGTTGCTTGATACATCATGACTGAATGTCTTGAGATAACTCACTGGCCTTTGCCAGTTAGTCAAAATGACAAATCCCTGTGACTCCTCCTTATACAATGTACAGGAACTTGCTTTTTGGTACTAAGTCCTGTGAGGTACTACAGACTGAGTCCCCTGAATTCTTCCTGATTTTTTTCTGATTCCTTTAGGTTTCCCTAATGTAACAGTGGCTCCTAACTGTGACGTAGAATCATGTCAAGGACCCATCATACAGAAATGCGATCCTCCCACTGAGCTTTCTATCCTTAGTGAATCTGTCATGGATTCCCAGGTAATGTATATTCTGTTCCACACATGTCCCACGTTTCTGGGTTGCACAAAATAAGAATATTCAAAGGCAGTGTTTCCAAGCACACCCGAACCTTTCTTCTGTGTATGGTGTAGCATCTTGATAATATACAGAGAAAACTGTATTAAATTGACATGAATTTGTTTTGCAAGACTCTGGCAATCATGACTTTAGGTTTGTTTGTTTGTTTTTTTTTCCAACCTTTAAGTAAGACAAACAGTAACTTCTTATGCCTCACATTAGTATGCTTTCCCTTTTAATTATCAGATAGAGAACAAACTGATTATAAACTAAAAAAAACCCACACAACTCTATGTTAATTAGAACTAATTGCTACCTATTGAAATATACCTGTTTTTTCAACTGTCTGCATACATGAGGACATGGGCTCCAGTTTATTTCAGATCATGCACAGATCATGCTCACTTAACTCCACAACCTTTATTAGTACTACAAGTTTTTTCAATACTTTACATTATTGTACAATTATTTATTTTTGTGTAACAACTTTAATGTTCATATAAAATCCTTTAAATTTTTATTTAGATTGTGTCAGGATTCCATTTTCTTCTCATAGCATGAATTATACCAGGAATGCTCGCTTTGGTTTGAGAAGTGTCATATGACACTTCTGAAAAGTAGCTCACTGCTGAAGACCGTAAGGGCTGTGGAACTCAAAGAGATGGTGTTATATTCTCTTGATTCTTTGAGATTTTTTTTCTTAGTTTCCTATGAAAATCACAATTAAAGGTTATCTGGTGGGTCATACCCAGAAGGGCAGAAACCTGATAGATTCTTTTTTTTATCCTAAGCGTATGTAGCGTGTAGTTCTTATTCAGTATGCATCATTGAAATAAGACATTGAGTATTGAATTAATCATTTGCTGTGTTATTTTCCAAGATAATTGTCAGTGTGAATATTTCTCATATACTAAAACATTTCCCAAAACCTTCCCATGGAGATCTGTGGGGGTCTTTGTTCTGTTGCTGATTTGTAATTTTGTTTTGGAGGTGGGGACTGAAACAAATTAGGGGGAGAGAGGTGGCTTTTTTTCTTGAAGCAATTCTAATTGATGTATAACTTCTTCTTAAAGACAACTTGATATTTCTCTGAGGTTCCTTTTGTTTTCTTTGTCTCCTAAAAAGGCTCTTAATGAAGTGCAAGAAGAAGCATTATCCATCTGTCCATCAGAAGATGGACAGCATGAACCTCTGAATTTCAAATCCAGCGTCAATGCTGACAGGTCAGTGCAAATATATCTGTTCAAGCTTCTACTTCTTTAATACTGGAAATAGGAGTTCAAAGGATGTTGTATGGAAGTAGTTAAGTTAGTTGTGTGTAGTCTTTGTTGTTGTTGTTGTTTGCTTGTTTGTTTCCCTCCCTACTCCTTTCTTGATCTCAGAATTCTAGGGAAAGCCATTGTTGTAATCTTAAACCTGGGAATGAATGTGAGTAGGGAACTCACCTGAGTAGTTACAGGTATTCTAAAAAGCTTTCTCTAGATTGCAAAGATAATCTAGAATCATGCTGTTATCATATCACAGTTCATTATTACGCTTGTTTTGAACGTAGGCTGCTTCAGATACTGAGAGAAGAAAATTCGTCGGTGAATTCTCGGTTGTGGGCTGAAAGGGGTATGAGAAGAACTACCTTATCACAAGAAGTACCTTTGACTCCAACGACTTTTTCTCCATCATTGGATCGTTCAGGTTGGATTTGCCAAATCGCAGACTATTGAGGGTTATTAAGCTGTTTATAGGATTCCATCCTGAATTCATGTTCTGGGTTGGGGTGAGAGAGACTTGTTAATTTGGCTCAGATGATCTTCCGGCCTAAAAAGCCAAATTTTCTAATTTTCTAATAACTTTGTAACGTACTACTATTAAGAACGTATCTCCAGTTTCATGTATTTTTTGTTTTGTATTTAAATCAGCCCTCAACGCTACCAGTGTAGTCAAGAGAATCCATTCAAGACTTCAGAATGAAGATGAAGAAGAGACAGTAGACTCGACTTACACTGTGAGACAAGTGCTGAACCCAAACTCAGGAAAACAAAAGCAAATTTCAGCAAAAAGTTTAGTATTTTTTAAAAATTACATACCTTCCTTTGAATAAGGTCCTTAATATCACAGCTTGAAAGGGATCTGTGGAAGTTGTCTCGTTGTGCTCCCTGCTCACAGCAGGGTGAACTCCAAAGATTGATTAGGGGCCCTCATCCATCCAAATCTTTGAGCATCTGGCATTCCACTTCCCCTTATGTAGTGTGTTCTGGTGACAAAGCAAAGTCCATAGCAAGCACAGAACCACCAATACGTGGTGCAACTCATTACCTTGCTGGCTATAGAGTTCTCCCTCCTGTGGTGCTTTTCTGTTTCTAATATAGCTTTCTGGTCGATGCTGAACAGCTTTATGAAGAATTTCAATCCACATATTCTACATGTAGTTTATACCCATTGTCAAACCCCACAAACAGCTGTAACATGAAAAGATAGTTGTAAAAGAATCACTCATTAAATATGAGACCTGAAAGCAGCTGAATTTTTTCACTGGCTGGTCGCTGGCAAACTGTTTCTGTGCTTTTAACTGAGAAGAAAAGTATAAATAGGTTTCTAAGATAAAAGCACCAAACAGCAACACCAGAGAGGTACTAATGCGGTGACAGAAAATGGGGGTTTTGATTATTGAAAATGACTAGAGTGACTGGGGATGTTCTCTTATGGACCTCTCCTTTGATTTATTTCAATAAGCAATATAACTTCATTTCTATTGCAAAGCTTTCTATACAAATTGAAATTTCAATGACTTTTTTTTCTCCCCCCAGTGAAAAGAAAGCAAACTGTACAGAACTCAGCAAGACAGAGGAGAGATGATTCTCTTGCTCATTCAATCCCCATTGACCTTCAGAGGGACAATAAATCCAGCCTAGATGTTCTCAGCTGTATGTTACACGAGGTGGAGCATGAACTGGAGGAATATGAGCGATGTACAGGCCGTGAGGTCCAAAAAGCTCAGAGAAGTGAAGGCCTCACCGGATTTACCTTGTCCCTGGTGAATGCTCTCTGTCGATTGATGCGCTACCTCAAAGAGGTGAGAAGACTTTGAATTCCATCTGTAGAATGAAAGAAGAAGGATATAAACTTGCATCAGAGGCGTTATCTTTGGTCTTTCCTGGCTCCCAATCAATTTACTTTGAAGTCTAATTATAATTACTTATTATTTGGATTGCATGCAATTAGGAGGTAAAACTTAATTTGTTAGAAACAGATATCCCTAATGAAAAGGGAGGAATTGACTGCAATGAAAGTCTCCAAGTCACTATTTGCAGAAGGTATTAATCAAATTACTTTGAAACTTATTTTTTACGTATGTTCAGAGCGGTAGCAGCGTATTAACTACAACCTTGTTTAGAAGTTCATTTTCTTCTTGGCCTCTCAAAGGTGATGCTATTGTCACTAGAAAAAGAGTACCCAAATCTTCAGTTTTCTTTGAGGAACTCCTTAGCTTTCTTCTTCTATCCATAGTAGCAACTTCACCTTAAACAAGAACGACCTAAAGTGCTTACTATAGCATTGCACAACTGCAGATCAATGGAATTTCATAAAGACAACTACCTGTAAGCTGTGGGGAAATAAATACTGTTTTAAAAAGTTTTTATTTCATCTCTAATCCAGAGGTATTCAAGATGCAGCAGTGGCTCACAGATTCATTGAGCCTTTGTGAAATTGTGAACCAGATTATGACAGTTCTTGCACTCTTAACGGATGCAGAAAAAATGTGTTGCCTAAATACCAGTGCTCTATTTCATAGTGAGGGCAATAGATTCCTAATGAACATGGAACTGTCCTCTTTTGGTTCCTTTTCAGAGTGTATAACCATTGAAAAAAATACTTTAAAAACCTGATTTGTTTTATTATTTCCTGTATGGATGCATAACAACGTATAAATCGAATATTGGGTAGTCCAGGAATATGAAAGATTCTCCTTTAAGACCTGTGTTGGAAGCAAACAATGAATGCTCAATTCAAGATTGAGAAATTACTACCATCAGAGGATGGACTTCGGCTGAGGTGTGATACTGAACTATTCCTGTTTCCAAATATGAATCTGTATTAACTACAGTAAGTTTTAAACTTTTTCTCCCTATTTAGAGTGAAATACAACTGCGTGAGAAAGAGTTGATGAGGCAACGTCATGAGGAGATGTTGAATGAGCACCGAGAACTGATTGATGCTTTGACTGCAGAAATACTTCTAGCGAGGGAAGAAAACATTACTATACAGGTACTGAGCCCCTTTCCCCAACGTGCTACTGAGTTTTGCTACAAATATGGGCTGAGATGCATTGTCCGTATGTTCAGGAAAGAAAGTGATAAAATTGAATGAGGAGTCTGAGAACAGCAGTCATGGGGTGTGGGGAAGGGGTGTTTGTAAAGTCAGCATTTTATTTTTTTATTTTTTTAATTATGTTTAAAGCTTGACAAAATGCTAGCTCCGTGAAACTGAAAACTGAGCTTTATTATGTACAGTCTAGTGGTTTAAGCACCTGCCACTATTGGAGCAGCGAAGTGGAATAGATGTAATGCTACATTTTCATTTCTTCGGCTTGTGGTGGAAGTAGATTTTTTTTTATTATTATTAGTTACCTTTGGCAATGAAACAGTACACAACCTTGGAGAGGAAGTGGGATGATAAATAAAAGAAAAGAAAAAATGAGATTTTTTTTTGAGGCAGGAATAGAGACATGAATAATATCTCGGTGGAATCTCACAAATTCATGCAGTGGTATTAAGAGGCCAAATTTATTCTCAGTGCTGCTTGTGGTGTATAATTTTCTAATTCCTGTTTTCATGTTGCTAGAATAAAAAATATTTCTCTCTCTCTCTCTCCCATCCTTAGAAGAAACTTCAGCAATACATGATTGTAACAGATGAACAGATAACCTCTCTCACTCAAGCATTTAAAAGTCTCCCTTTGGTAGAACCTAGAAGAGAACAAAGTCCAAACCATTTTGGAACTGCAAGCAACAGTCCAGCAAATGGCCAAGGTATGCATGTGCGTGTGTGGAGAAAACTGGAATTGTGGCTACTTTATTTCTGCAGTAGAAAATCTGGTATTTAATAGATGTCTACTTGAATAAACACCTCTTGTGAACCTGAATGTCACTTATGGAAATTCATACACCATGGGTTTCTGCTGTGAGCAGAAGCACTTTGCTACAGACTTTTTTTTTTTTTTTTTTTTTAAGTAGTATTATAGGCTGAATTCCGTCCCACTGGCATTCATGTATCTGGATCTGGACTTGGAAATTATCCATAAAGACAGATCTTGGGCTTGAACTTTTAAAGTGACAAGTCTTTATTTTATTTTCCTGAAAAAGAAGGCAGAAGGAGAATAGCCTTTCCTCACAAGTGGGAGGCATCCTTCTGTTCCTTACCCTGTTAAGATGCCTTACAAAATCAGGTTAATCCTGGAACAGGTTGCCTACAGAAGTGGTGGAGTCCCTGTCCTTGGGGGTGTTTAAGGAAAGGTTGGACGTGGTGCTTAGGGACATGGTTTAGTGGGTGACATTGGTGGTAGGGGGATAGTTGGATTAGATGATCTTGGAGGGCTTTTCCAACCTTAATGGTTCTATGATTCTATGAATCCTAAGAATCTTAAAAAGTAAAATAAAATTTAACTAAAAAAAAAGTAAGAAATGTCCAGCTGAAGCAGGACCCTGCCTGTCTGTTGCTGAGGCACTCTAATAGTATGAGATTGGTTCTTCCGTTAAACACTGGAGGTCGCTGCTGACCAGAAACAGCAGTTGGTTAGATCTGTTAAGCAGCCAGGGGTAAGTTAACGTAGAACATCTCTGGAGAGAGGGAGGGTTGCTGAAGAAGGAGTTGGAGGGGGAAATATCATGACAAACAGCATGTGAGGAGGATGCTTTGGAAAGGCAGCTCTGCATGGTGAAGCAGGGGAAGAAGATCTGACTCACCTCTTGCCAAGATCATTATATAAGGGGTGGAAGGTTTTAAATTCCATCTCAGTAATGTGAACCATCAACAATATCTTAAGCAAACAGCATCTTTTGCTTGCCTCTCTGCCTTTGCAGAGTGTTTTTTGTCTCTTGTACTTTGGGATCACAAACGTTCTCCCTCATTTTCTGGTAACTTTGATTTTGGGAACAAATATCCTGAGCAAAATCATTAAGGGTGAATTCAAAGATAGTGCTAAGGGAGCAGCCTATGCAGGCGTATTAAAATTACTGTGGTCTCACAGCTGGCTACAGCTTTGACTCCATGCTTTGTGTGTCTTATACATGGGCTGCAAACAGCTCTCTTACCAGTATGCTGAAATTGTGAGCCTGTGTATGATAGCTTATTTTGCTCTCCTAAGCCCAGTAAAGATTTTTGTTATGTCTTAGAGTTTTGTACCAGGGGACCAGAAGGAATTTAGGGTTATGTGAGGAACATATTCTGGTCTGTCTTTTTAGATACCTGAACATAAGAATTGTCATTGGCACTTTTTCCTATACTGCTTTTGATCTGAAACTAATTTTTCTCTTTTTTTTTTTTTAAATTCTACTCTGGCTTTGTTTCTTTAGAAAAAACTGATTTGAGCTGTTTTGAGCCCAGGAGCAATGAAGGCAACAGGGAAAATATGCTGAAGTTACCACAAGAAGAACTGCCTTTCAAGTTTCCTCAGAAGCCAAGTGCCTCAAGTGGTGTAGGAGCAGGTAGAAGCTTGCCGGCTCACATCTTCCAGCCAGCTGTCCTGTTGTCACCACCTCGTCAGAAGAGCAATCAGGAATCGTCTCCCCTCCAGAATGGTGAGATCTCTGGCCAAAGTAGGCTTTTACTATTTCAGTCTCTCGGGTTCAGATTTCCTTTGGAGATGTCTTTTCTATCAAAGTTTTTACATCTGAATGCCTAAACACCTTGGTCCTGTAGTTGGAATACCCTGCTTCTGCACTCAGATGTGCATTGGACTTTCTGACCCCTGTAGTTCTCCATCTGTAGTCCTCTGTCAGTGACAATCCAGACTGGCATTTTTAACTTGTACTGGCTTTGATTGTCACTGTTTGCTGTAGCTCTTTGTCTGTGACTTACAGCACATCGTCTGAGCTCTCCCTCCACTGGTGGTGTAATCCAGCCTCTGTCACCTATAATGGTGGAACCACTGAAGACTGGAAATCCGGGATGACTGTAGGCTGCATACTCCTTGAGCTAATCTCCCCAGCAAAGATTTTTTTCCAAAAAAATTGGGAGCAGGTTTCCATATGGGTTTCATTTAGTAGTACACAGGAAGTGGTTGAAGAAGTTTGGGGTGAAATTACGTGGTGCCAGATTAACTCACAGTCAGGATTTGTAGGCTTTGGGAGTTTTTGAGGTTGCTGAGTGTGATGGGCCCCTGTAAAGCTGTGTTGTTGAGGGACAGATGACTGTGTCAATGACTGGTTTGGTTGCTGACAGGGAACAGCCACAGCAGTGTGGCTTTATGCCTTCTCTCCTTTTGTCCTACCCCTGTCATCTGTATTGATTTGTAACCCTTTTTAGTCAGAAAAATAACCAAAAAGTCCCTTTAATTTTTAACAACTTGCCAGAACAATTGGAAATTTATATCTAGTTCAAGCTTCTGGTAGTATGCAGTGCTGTGAAAAGACACATAATAAATAAGGAGGAAATGAACTAAAGATAGTTTTCTTCAAAGAGCATCATCTGGCTTCAGTCCCATTGAGAACTGTCAGACATCTGCCATTTGAAACAGGAACGTGAAACCATACTTGTAGACTTTGCTATAGTTAGGTATGTGAGAAATGCATTGTTATTCTTTTGAGACTGTGAAGAATGCTAAATGGCTCAACAAATACTTTTTGAGTATTTTTTTTTGTAAAAAATGGTAAAATGGTTCATAAAACAGTGGATGTAGGTTTAAATTTTTGAATGTCATGCTCTGCTCCAGTGGCAAAAGCTGATGCTTGGGAAAGAATGGCTATTTGGTATGTAAAACATGGAACCCCTGCTTTTGATCACAAAATCCAAGTTGGACTTTGCGGGTGACAGCGCTGGAACATATTTGGTCATATGTGTGGTGTGTTACCAGTTTGCTAACAGTGACCACAAGAATATTTAACTATTTCTGTTGGCCATGGTGCATCAACTTCTTAGGGAATAGGTAAATTATTATTCCAGAAGTGTTGTATTGCACCATTCCAAAAGCTTTGTTACGTTACCAATCCAATATAAACAGCAGAAGAAAATACATACTTACAGTTTATTAGATAAGGTAATTGGTTTTTGGAAAATGGAGGACTTACACAGAAGCTTACACAGAAGCAGTGGTTGATATATCAGCTAAGACATTCAAAACATTTCTCTTGTCCCTGACTTTTCTCTCAAGCTCATGTACAATGGAAGACTATTTGCAGCAGGAAATAATGCTGTTGCGTCCTTGCAGCAGGATATTGCATAGAGTGATTTTGATCAGTGACATATGCCATTTAGACTAGATATTACAATTCAAATTCCTGCTTGGTTATTACTAGCCTGATGCAATAAAGTTACTATTCATTTTACTTAAAAAAAAAATCATGTCTCTTTCATTACTGTTCCTTTATTTCTTGTTTGTAGTATTTACAACAATTTCTCAGTTTACTGAAAACACTGCGAGAGAACCAGGCAAAGAAAAGAGCTCACCCTCCTCCCTGAGAACACAGAGCACAACTGAGGAAACCAATCTTATCACTCAAAGGCAACCAATTCCTACTGCAGACAAAGACTTGGAGAGTTCCCAAGAGAAAATCAGTCTGCCCTGCCCAGCTGATGCCAGAAAAAACAGTGCAATTGAAGAGTTCTCTCAAAGTAGTGATCTGTTGGGACAGATAGCTGAGCTTACACAGCAGAATTCGCTAATTAAAACTCAGTTGAGCAAATTGAGAAGCTTCTCAGAAGACAAAAGTGCCTGCCTACATCAGCCAGACTCGATGCAAAATACAAATCCTAGTTCAGACTCTTCACAAGGACAGGTGAGAATTTAACAGAAGGATGGATTCCCTTTTTTGCTGGTCTTCTTTCCTATAACTTATCCTTCTAGACTGTTTCTTACCTGTCAGTTTTTTTAAGGAAAAGAGTAGCAAAACAGATATTCTTTTCATTCACACGGACTTTGATTTTACGATTCCCTTAGGAGGTCAATAATAGTTCCTCATATGGGACCTATGTTGTATACAAGTGCTGAAAAGCCCCATGTGTGCAGCATGTTTATAAGCTTTGAGTATGGTTGTGCTGCAAAGAGAGAGGTGATTGCAGTAGGTGTATCTCTTGCAGCTTGGATAATACTATCAGTGAAATAACAGAGGATAATCATAGAATCATTTCAGTTGCAAAAGACCTCTAAGATCATCAAGTCCAAGCGTTAAATATATTAATAGTGAAAACACTGCACCAACCCACAGGTTCTTGTCAAGTTTGTAAAAATATGTATTTAAATCCATGCCATGGCATCTCTTCCGCTACTGTCACCCAGAAACCCATGGAATTTGAGTTAGTTTGGGTACATCTCTTGCAAATACTTGATACTAGGGTACGTACTAGTTGGATCTGTCTTGACAATTGTACTGTGTGGTGAAAATCCCCAAATCTTTGAGAAAGAGAGAACTTCAAGGCTTCAATTCACATAGAAAATCTTTAATCTGCAACTAAACAGCTATTCAGTGGAACCCCAGCGAGTGGAGTTACCATCACAGAAATGTCTCTAATCCCTCCCCTCGCTGCTATCTTTCCTTCTGTTCCATCACCGTGGCTAAATTACCATTCAGTTAAGGATACTAAAGATTTTTAATTCCCTCATGTAAATGTAGGCTGAGAATGTGCTTACCATCCTCGTTGTAATATGTATAACATTAAGTCATTTAGTTGTACAAGATGATGCAAACTTCTTAAATGATCTTTTTATGAAAATAATTACTGGAGCGGAAGGGGTCAAAATGGATGAAAATCTGGTTTAAAAATGAGTTCCAGGATAATTCTGCCACAAATGTGTTTTTGCTTCTACACTCACTCCTGAATGTGTGTCTTTCTGGTTAAATATTTTCTTAATTACTGTGAATTGCTAGAGGGTTAAGGGGTGCTGGTGCTGGTACTGGTTGGAATGATGCAGATGAGCTATTTTTCCTATTTATTGGAAGACCCATTTAAAACATTGTGTTTAGTCAATTAAGAACCTAGATAGAGGACAGTGGAAGGGACCAAATCAGATCTCTCACAGGAGGTGCTATATAAGTAAACTTAATGGTTTTTTCACTTGAAAATTAAATGTATAGAAGTGCTTGATATACACTGCATGCTCTCCCTCAAGGTGCAATTTTAAGTTTTTTAATTGGAAGTATAATTATCCAATTATCTAAGTAGACTCATCTTGTGGCAACGAAGAGCTTGGAAGAAAGAATAGCAGAGCTGAATCGTCAGAGTACAGAAGCACGTGATAAACTGTTGCAGCTAATAGACCAGCAGAAAGTAGCTGCTGCCGATCTGGTCTCTCCAATGATATCTTCAGTTCTGCCCCCATCCCTAAATTATACGGGTAAGTACCCAAGTTTGGGAGAAACAAAAACTGGTAGGGTGATGTTTTTCCCCTTTTGTGGGTGACCTGTCCTGAATTGATTGTAGTTGTGGTCAGCAGTACACTTTCTGTTAATGCCTGTGTGGTGCAAACACTCCTTGGTTTTAGAGGTGGAGGACTTCAGAGAGCTAAAAAAAAAAAAAATCTATCAGCTAAAATTCCCCTAAAATTTGTTTCTTAGTAATTAGTTACTTTGCCGCAAATATCGTGTTTCATGGTAAATTTGTTCTTTGCTGTGCCCTTGTCTGAAGAACAGTTCTGCTACACAGTCACTGAAGGGCAGAACTAGCCTTTGTTGCCAACAGATGGCAAGGGAGATCCTTGGTGTCTGAAATTCCCAATATTTTCATTCTTCTTGCAGCATGTTAATCAGTCCTCTATGATGGAGAGTCTTTTTGGAAAGACTTAAGTATTTCCAGATAACATTTTTAGAAGCTTGATGTATCTCAACCACATTTTTGAAGTTTTAGGTCTTGTGGGTGCTCTGTCCCTCAGGCTACCTTGCTGAGTTACTGCCAGTGCTAACAGAAAGAAATAACTGAAGCTTCCATTTATCTGAAAAGATAAATGAGTGAAGGGGATATTCTTGCCAACTCAAGATCTGTAGATTAGCTGCCATTTGTAACTACAAACAAAAATACTTTCCAGCAGAGGAGGCCTTCTTAATTTTTTTTTTTTTTTTGTGGAGTTACTGCAGTTACAAGCAGAACTGTGTGAGCATGTACACACATGCTCTATCTAGGACACCCACCCTTTCCCCCCTTCATAAACCACAGAGGATATATAAAGGGAAGTACTTGAGTAGGGAGAGGAAGGAGGAGGAGGAGAGACTGCATGTGTGCACATGTATGCAGGTGCATATGCAGTGACTCACAGAGTGGGATCTTAACACTTTTTGCACTTCTACGGCTGTTGTAAGATAAATTCAGTGTGAAAAGTAAAATCTAAAGGAAAAGAAATAGAGAAATCTCAAGTTTCTGAGCCTCCAATTACTTTAAAAAAAAAAAAAAAGTGATTATCCAGGGAAGGGCCATTCTGTTTTTATGCATGTTGTCATAGTTGCTCTGAATAAGTGCTTTCAATATCTGTCATTAGAAGAGGATGGATATTGGGTTGAATGGACCTTCAACCTGTATTCTATGCAATTGTGAAGACTTACGTGGTGGTCCTCAAAAAAAAAAAAGTGAAAATGAAATAAATATTGTGAAATGCTGCTGTGTTCTCATCAAAATCAAGCTATTCTTTATTTCATAGAAAATACAAGGAGGACGATTGAAGTGTCTATTCCTGTGGCAGCTTCTGTGGACAGCTCCAAAGAAGAGAGTGTTTCCCCTGCCAGTGTGACCAGTGTGAGAAGGTAAATGTTGAGCCTTTACTATTTGTTCTTTTTGGTAGTGTCTTGATCATGTGCACAGCAGAACTGTAACATGATGGAAAAATCACCACGTCTTTCTCTTGTTCCATGAACTTTCCCAGATTAAATCAAACTCAGCTCTTTGGAAATAGGACAAACATCCAATAGCTTCTTCAAATGTCATTGTTTGTATTTAAAATACCTCCAGTGTGACATAAAACTGATCACGTGAGATCTAAGATGTGATTTCATTGACTACTTCCTTTTTTTAATGTCATTTTGGATGTTTACAGGTCTGTAGGGGACGCTAGCAAACCTTGTTCGCCCCTAAGTGCCATGTCAGAAAGTGTGAAACTAACTCCTGTCAGTCAAAGGCCAAAGGTAAGACTGCAAAACCTTCAGTGAGTAAGTTTGATTGCTGTGTCATATAAAGAGAATGCAAGATAGATAAAGAAGGGAGTAGGGAGCTCAGTCCTACCGTAAATCTACTGAGGTGAAAGGTAATTGACTCATGTCAGTTTAGATTCCAGACAAACTGAGCACTAGTCATGTTGGTTGTTTGCTGTCATGGGGCTGGTGTTTATAAGCGAGTATTCCTGTAACTGCTCTTTTTGCTGTGTCATCTATTTCTATTTGTGTTTAGAACAGGGAACCTCTTTCAGGCTTTCACTGGTGGCTCCAGAAAATTTCAAGTAGCCTTTATGATGTGGAGTGATGTGTAAGAGGGAAGCAAGCTTTCGCCTAGCAATTGCAGAAGTGCTGAAAACTAAATAAATCTGAAAGTAAAGAACAATCACTGATCTTGATTACTGTTTCCTAATATGCAAAAAGAATAGACTACAGAGATGTTTCATATTGGGTTCCAGACAGTAGTGTAGTCCGGTAAACCATTCGTAGATCTGTTTGTATAAACTGTGAGAAGATACTAATGCTGTCTGTCCAGATATCCAAAATAACCCAACCTGGGAGTCCAAGACTTCTTGCCCTGATAGGGAAGTAAACATCCCCATAGGGGAAATTCAGAATGCTTCAGGTAGATGTGACTTCAGCTAGGTGTCTAAAGTTGACGGTGTGATAACCTCTGTGGTCCCTGTGGCAGACGATTGCTTCATATCAGGGAAGTGGATAATCCTATGCCAGCAAGCGCTGACTAGCAAGTCTGTGGGAAGCTTGTGATGTATGACTTTCAACTTGTTTCCTCTTTTGCAGGCAGAAAAACAAAAAGAAGAAGGTTGGTTCGCATTGTCAATGCATATTATGTAAAGGAAGCTGCGCTCAAGTCCTTTTTTTATTTTAATTTTCTTATGAACAGCAATTTAGGTCACTGTGGTCACCCTCTCCAGATGTGCAGTTTAACTCTGGAGTGCTTTCATGTCAGTATAAAAAGGTCAATATGGGATAATACCCCATGTGGCATGAATACAAGAAGGAATTCCTGGGAATGAGTTTCCAGACAGGATGCACTGCATCACCCCTTTTCACTGAAGCTGCTGTAGCAACACAAATGGGCTGCACACTGATCTGATACCTGTATTACACATGCTGAAGAAAGAAGGATCTAGAAAATGTGTGTGGAACGTAACATTTCTGGAGCATGTATTTGCACATGACTCGGGATTGAAAAAATTCAAGAAAAACAGAGATGAGGGAATTCACATATATTCAAAAGCAACCTGGAGATTAGGAAGCCAGTCTGTTCCTGCTGGATGAGAATTTGCTTCAGAAATAAATGAATTTTTTCCTTCCATGTTTACAGTTGCCCCCAAGATTTGTATTTTCTGTGCAGTTAATGTATCAAGGATAGCTTCTGGACTTGAGGATCTCTTTTTAAATTTTATTTTTATAGTAAACGTAAAGTGGCTATTGGAAGTTGAAATCAGAATCTCTGTTATATACTAAATGTGATCTTTGATACAATAGAAAAATTATGTAAATTATATTAAGCTCTTCTACTGTGTGTATGTATAATACTCTAATGACCATGTTTGCACATTGATTTTATTTGACATTTTAAAAATAGCTGTCATTTTAGTATTAATGATTGACAATAAAATACATTCATTCCTTACATTATAGTAAACCTGAGCAAAAAACTTCACAATTGATTTTTTTTTTTTTTAAGAAATAAAATCCAGACTTACAATTTTTTTCTAAGTAAAGTTGTTTTCATCTCTTTATTTTTTTTAATTGACCTGGTCTAATATCCCTAAAGACATTAGTGAAGTGTGGCATAAAAAGGGGCCAGTCCCTATCCTTTCAATCAGTTCAGCTTTAAGAGAATGAAGAATTTATTTTCTTTTCTACTAAGAAGGGAGCAGTTGCTTTTAAACACGCTTTCTAAATTTAAAAAATGTGGGATTCAAAAGAACACCTATTCAAATATTCATTGAAATCTCTGCAATTTATTATTCAAGTACTAACTTTGGGAATTGAAGGAGGCCCATAATAATTTTGTAAGGCAACAGTTAAAACTGTTTGGAGGAAATAACTGCCTCTGCATGAGATGTTTGGTGCCAAGGTTGGAAGGGACTGCATAACCGTGGTGCCTGCACATTAATGCTGTTGTTGCTGACTTCCTCTAAGCTATCAGTTAGTTATCAGCTGCCACACATGCTTTGTAATCAGGGCAGAGATTGAATTTTTCTCTTCCTAATTCAAGTAGGCTGAGATTTTGTTTTGGAATAAAAGAATTGGAATCAACCTTTTGAGTCATCAGCTGGTTTCCTTGAATTGGAAGCTTCCTTTATCAAATTGTTTTGAAGTTGAGTCATCTTAGTTGTATTCCAGCCTTGTAAATGCTTACTGAGAGAATTACTGCTGGCTTTCCTTTTGATTGCTGAGAGTAAGATCTGAGTCTCCTTGGAATCAGTAGAACTCGGGTTCAGGAGGACCACGGGGGTCCTGCTTCGGAGTCGGGACCAGTGACCCGTTGCTGCGTAAAATAGCATTGGTGGTGCAGAGCCCGTGGCCATCTGAAGCAGAAGGACCATGCAGAACTACCACCCGGGTCCCAAAAGCTGCATGGCTGTGGTAGCAAAGCAGTGCCCTCCAACTAGTCGCTCCTGCCTCCCAGCACAGCCAGCTGGCTCAGCTGCCACCCGGAGCCCATGGGGCTAGCCAGGTGCCAGGGCTCGCTTTCAACATGCACTAAATGCTATTTCGGAAGGCAGGAATGTGCCACTGGGCGGCTGTGGCTGTCCTCCCACAAATTCCTCCACATCATAGGACTGGGGGAGGGCAGCCTCCTACTGCTCAGGGTCAGACTGCATTTTATGACTAAAAACAAGCTGCAGCTGAGGTGTAGTGGAAGTGCGTATGCTGGAAGTCTCTATCATACTACACCGCTGATAAGAAACTCTTAATGATTTTTTTTGCCTGTTCTAGACAATATAACACAGGAGAACGTTTTAGGCCTTCATCTTTGTTTTTCGATTGTGTTAAATCATGGAAAGGCTGGCGTCATCCAGACCCAGAGCTCAGTGCAGTGCTTTTATTGCTAATGATTTTAAGATTTTGCATGGTAAACATTTTGTCTTGCTTCCTTTCTTCCAGGTGTTTCACGTTCCTCCTTTTTTTGTCTTACATGTCAGCAGAAAGACATTTGGCCACAGACCACAGTAAACACAAAAGTAAAAAGCAGGTACGGAAAAGCACTGCAACCTTTGTTTTTCCTTGTCATCCTATTTTAAGCGTTGTTCCAAACAGGAGTTGGTTTCCATTTGAAAATGTTTCAGGGGAAAAGCATGAGAAAGTTTCCTACCTACCAGTGTTTTGACTGCAAAATTCCTAATTAAAATTATTTCAAATAACGCTGTTGTTTTATTTTTGGAAATGGGAAAACTGAGTGTTTTTCTTGGGTTTTCAATTGTTTCCTCCCTCCTAGTCATCAGTCCTTGTACAGTTACATGAAGGAGGCTCTGTGCAATGCCTTGCTTGGGTTTTATTTTGGTTTTGAAATTGTAGATAGTTGATAAATAGCTGAGGGCAGGGAGCAGAGAGATGAAGTCCAGAAACAGGTCTTGCTTTCTGTTTTATGCTGTAATTTCTAGGAAACCAGAAGGTTTCTAGGACTGACAATTTAATCTTTGTTTCATGTTAGACTTTAAGAAGACATACAATGTCCATAAGCCCTTTTTAAATGAAAAAAGCTCCAGTGAGAGTATTTCCCTCTGCAACCTTTAACAGTACAGGATTACCAGCACCATCATTTTGCTGTGTGATGGATTTAAATGCCATATGTTAATTGAACCCTAGGGGATCGGAGTGCCTTGCTTTTGCCAAAGCCTGGGATGTTTTATCTGTGACTAGCTTCAAGAATGTAAAACATGAGTTAAATGTGATAAAGGAGTTTTCAGGCACACAGTTTTAGAGATGTTCCTTGTGAGAGCTGAAGTACAGTATCAGAATAGTGAGGTCAGCTGTGACACACAGTAACTATTCTATAAAATATGATGATTACGTTGTAATACCTGGGTGTTGTTACACTGAGCGCTAACAACGCCATTTTTCAGAGGTTTATCCACACGTTTCTGCAGGCACAGCTCATTTTGTGCCTTTGAAAAACATGGTCGCAGCTGTCAAAGCTATTTGAGGAATTCTATGCAGCAGCACCGCTCCCCTGTCTCCCTAAACCTAGTCCCTGCCCAACCCTTGCTGAACCCCATAGGCTACAGGCAAGACTCTTCAAGAATTCAGGCTTTCACTTTGCCCCTGCTACAGAGATAAAGCTACACCTCCAGGGACACAGACAGCTGGGTAGAGGGAGTTTGACAAACAGATCTGCTGGATGTAAAAGTATTTGTCTCAATGCATCCACGTACAAGGTGCCTGAGTGGGTGGAGGCAGTGCAGGGGCTGTACAAGCCCTGTGGCCGCAGGATAAAGGCAGCCGGCTTGTGGTAACAGAGGAGCCTGCAGGCAGCTCCCACTCGGTACCCACTTGGCACCACCTGCACGGCCTTGCCTTCATCTAAAAGTGCAGCAGGAAGGCCTCTGAGGGCTTCTCTTCTGTAGAAATAATTAATAGAGTTGTTTGCTTGCAAGCAAACTCTGTGTGATAGCTTGAATGGCCAAAAAGGAGGAGCTCCTCTCCATGGGTGGGATCTGTGCGGTGTGCTGTGGGAGGAATCCATCCAGGGTCCATGTAGCATGAATTTTGGATTCCTCCTGTCAGAAGGGATATAAGGTTTACTCACTATCGATACTCCTCTTGTTATTCTAAATAAAACAGCTATTTTATTAAGGTATTTGTTGTCAGTCCTGTCTTGCTGAGATCCATAAAAAGCTCTGCACCAAATCCGGATGCAGCTAAACACGATGCATGTTTTACATCTTACATAGTGTTTGTTACCTAAGAACCTGAGAGAATCTGAAAATTGGATTTCTTATCCAATTTTTCAGCTTGGGAGACTGAGGCATGGAGCAAGCTATGGAAAATTCCAAGTTTCCTGGTCCAGCAAGGCAGTGCTGGGCTCAGAGTCACGCTGCCCCTGCACTGTGAAAGCTGTGCCTCTGAGTGGATGCATGACTACAGAGTCCCGAGCCACCTGTGCTCTTCAGAAGCAAAAATTCTGGTCAAGAATGATTTAATCTTCATCATCACGATTTTATCTTCTGCTGTTTACATGTGCACAGCCCAGCCTGACAACCTTCTTGTGTATGGCTCTATCCCATGACAGGATTCACAATAGTTCTTCTGACCTTTCCTTCTGTGGCACCTGAAGGGTGGTGGTGGGAAAGCAGGCTTTGGACAACATGGAAGAGGAGCCTGTAAGTCTCACGGTATTCATTTTCCATCCTAATAACATAGCATTAATACGTATATCCCTTATATTTTATTTCTTAAGTAATTGCATTGCCTTGGGAGCATTTCTTCAGGCACAGAAAACACGGGTCATTCTTACACGTCACTTCAAAGCCACCAATTCCCTGGGTGAGAGGAGCGAGAAGGCACGAGGTAGGCAAGGAAAGGCAGATGGAACCTGCAGTAACCTCCGCTAACTGCAGACAAGACGTGGACTCCAGCAGTGGGTGGGGTAGAGCTGGAGGAGCAGCTGCCAGGCTTGCGTGTCCTGCCCTCCGTGAAGCTGTGCAGCAGTTACTTCACCGTTTATAACAATTAGTCACAAGCTTCCACCCAGCCTTCTTGAGAACTGCTGGGCGCAACTGAGACAGCACCAAAGAGGAAAAGGGTGAGTGCCTCTTTTCAGCCTAGCAAGCCTGCCAGCTCTGGTGACCAAGCACAGTTTCAGCAGAAGCTTAGGAAAAAAAAAAAAAAAAAAAAAAAAACAACCCTTGTTTCTGCCACAAGACATCTTTGCCTCCTCTGTAGGCCCTGCACAGCAGCTTGGGTGAGTGTCTGAGGTAGGAACGAGGAGTGAGGTGCTTAGGAAGAGCTACCATGGAGTAGAGAAGTGATCCCAGAGAGATGAAGTTCTTGCTGGGATACCTGAGTAAAAGCCTTTATATTCCTTCCTTAGAATCCTTCCCTGATTCTCTCTCTCTCACACACACACTGTATGCACACACGAGAACAAAGCTTTGTCAGGTCTCATACTGACCACAGACCTTATCTGGGTTGCTGTGTCCAAGTAACCCCCCTAAATGGCACATTTTGTTACCTCGCACTCACCCCACGGATGCTCTTTGCTCCCACACTCACATACCTCCATTGCATGATCTGTAGCTGCTCTGTGAGCAGCAGAATTAATTCAGCTTGCTTTTTGCTGGATTGCTGCCCCATTTTCCCAGCTGCTATCCGCCACCACCATAATAGCTGCATCCCCATGGAATAACCTACTGTAGGTAATACCCTCATGACCCCATGGTCTGGGCAGTGAAGGGAAAAGGGAATGGCTCTGTTTTCTTCTCAGTGTGAGCATTAATGTCCTACTTATCCATTTTCTTTAGCTTACAGGAACTTACTATCTTTAAGGTGACCTCCCCTGTCTCAAACGTGGATGAAGGGGAGGTTAAAAATCTACCAGCAAGGCCTAAGAGATGTCACAGAAGTTGCTTCCTTAGAAAATCTGGCTTGAAAGAATTCCAGTTTCATCTTCCCTTCCACAAAGGCAGGCAGGACACAGGAGAGATTAAAAAGAAGATATATATAGCTGGCAGAAAGCTAGAAGTGGCAGCAGGTGGCTTGAATGCTGC